ACTATCATGAGAAGGGTTCCAATTTACATCAATGAGTGCAACTCTATTTGCTCCCATTAAATTAATACCTTCACAACCGGCAAGTGTTGAAATAAGTAGAACTGTAATATTGTTAGTATTATCGTTAATCTTATCGATACAGGATTGTCTTTGATCAAATGGAGTACTTCCATCAAATCGCATAAAATTAAGTTGACCTTTTGCATCCTTATCCTTATTGTATCGTTTAAGAGTGTTTTCAATGAAATTCAAGGTGTTAATACTTCTACTGAATACTATGAGACGATCTCCTACGCTTTTACATTGAAACATAACACTGAATAAGAGTATCATTTTACCTCCATTATCTAGTGCTCCTCTCTTGTATCCCATATTTTCTGGACATTTAAATATTTCTGATAAAATAGTTTTTGCTATTGCTTCAGTACTATCCTTCTTTTGAGGTTCTTTTCCTTCTTCCCCAGTATCAACCTCTTTATCTATGTATGATTCTATCTCCTCATCATCTATTGAGGGATCAAACACTTCACCATTATTTGTTTCTTCTTCAGCTGAATACGATTCTTTTTCCTTCTTTTTAGAATCTTTGGCTTCCTTCTCAATTTTTTGGGTTTCTGCTTGTTTTTCTTTCCACTTATAGTAATTATACAGAACATCTGGATGATTACAAAGCATGATAACCACATCATAGGTCCAGAAGATACTCGGCTTTCCAATTAATTTGAGAGAATCAATCAGAATTTTGTACATTTTTCTTTGAATTTCACTATTTGACAAGGTCAATAGAATTTCTTGTTTTTGAGGCAACAACTTTTTCAAAAGGGATGCATCTCTTCTCAAAATGATGGATTTAACTTTTTCATATAATAGCCATGATCTTCTTCTAGCTATTCTACGTTCATAGGGTATTTTGGAGAGTTGTCCTTTTTGAATTGGCTTGGAATATTTCCTCTTGAATTCATTCTTTTCTCCCAAGTACATTGGACATACAAAATTAATCATTGTCCAATATTCCAATAAATTGTTTTGAAATGGATATCCAGTTAAAATTATCCTCTTTTGTGTATTTACAGAGTTTAAAGCACGAGTAATTTTTGAAGATAAATGACGAATTTTGTGCCCTTCATCCAAAACTATGACATCAGGTCCTGGGTTTAGTAAATATTCCTTAAAATCTTCATCTACACAAAGTGTTCTAAACATATCATAGGATGTTATCATAACACCACCATTTTGTTGCCAATTTGCTGTTGTTTTTTTTCTATCCTGAATTGAGTTCTTTGATGAGAGTAGGAAAGGTTTAATACATGAAATATTAGGATCAGAAACCCATTTTTCAATTGTTTTAAATTCTCTTTCCCAATGAGTATTTACAGATGCTGGTGAAACAATAAGAGCAGTTTTAGCTTGCTTCTCAGCGAAAAATATATGTAAAAATCTTTCAATGTTAATAAATTATTTCATAATGATCATGATACATACGAAGCTGTTTGTAAAGTTTTTCCCATGCCCATAAAATCAGCAAGAATACAGCCATTTCCCTTTGCAAGATTTTCCCAAAGAAACTTTACTCCTCTCTTTTGATGTGAGTATAATTTATCCAACATCATTTGAGGGAATTGCTTTGATAATCCAAGTAAATCCTCATTTGTGCATTCCTCTTCCTCTTTTCTTTTCAAGAGATCTTCCTCTCTTGCATGTTCTATTCTTTCTGGATCTTCATCACTTATATCACAATATTCAGCTTCATCCAAATCCATTACATTTTCATACTCATCTCCAGGTTCATAATGTGAATGAGATTCATACATTCTATCTTCCTCAATTTCATCCATTTGAAGCATTTGCTCAACAAAATTTGGTTGTGCCAACAAGGAAACTTCACATGTTTCTTCCATAATCGGAGGCGTTAAATCATCCAACACTTCAGCACTAGGAATCGGAATCTCTACAGAAGGAGGAGGAAGAGGTTGCTCAAGTAGAGGCGGTGTAGAAGGAGATAATTGTTGTGACTTTTTCTTTTTTTCATTCTTCTTTGTTTTCTTATTTTCTTTGGTTTTAACATCCTTCTTATCCTCTTTCTTTGATTTCTTTTCCTCTTTTTTCTTTTTCTTAGGTTCGCTACTATTATTATTACTATTAGATGATGAAGAAGAAGAGGCTGAAATTTGGTTTTTAAGATCAGTCACTTGATTTTCCAACGAACTATTCCGATTATTAATAAATCCTCTCTATTCTTTACAATAATTTGCACTTACTTTACTTTTGTTACCAACTCTTTAATAATATTGAACAAGTCTAAATTTGTTGGATTTGTATTATTCGGAGAGTTCATCAGATCATTTTGACTGGATGATGAACCTCCTCTATCCATCCTCTTTCTTGTAGCCTAGTTTTTTTTAATTTTGTAATAAATTTTAATGAAAAATTGTATTAAAGAGGATCAAGGCTAGATTTGAAATTTTAAAAGATGAATCAATCATACACATAAATCAAACATTCATCACAATCTTCCTCAATAATATATTTGTTAATTCTTATTAGTTATTTGTAATTCAAAAAAATAATTTAAAGCCTTTCAAAATATTCCCTATACACCAATGCATAAAGGATGAAAATTAAACAACAAGCACTTGTTCCGAATGTTGATCGATCGGAAGAAGACTTGGATTTGATGAGGATTGAAATTCTGAAATTACTAATTGTTTATGTAAAGAGCAAGACTAGTTTGCTATTCTTATTATTTAAAGATGAATATCAGGATGATTATTATTACAAGAACAAGAATAGGATATTTAAATGGTTGAATAATTTTAAAGTTGATGTTCAAGGTCGGAAAGAATCATTGAATACTATATTGAATAATAATTGGTTGGAATTAAATGTTAAATTTATTGTAAATAGTTTGGTAGAATCTTTGGGAGGTGGAGTGGATATTTTGACCACACTCGAAAAATCTCAATTTGTACAGTTAATGACGATTAATAAGGAATTGCCAACAATTATTAAATATCTGAACGAGTTGAAAGATGGTCAACCAATTCCAAAAGAAATATTGATCTATCTTGACAAATGTGGATTTATTTGGGGTAAAACCAAAACATATCACGAGTATATTTCATTTATCATCAAACAAATTAGACTAGTTTTAAAATGTGAATCATATAGAAAAATCTACCTAAAGGGAAAGAATGAATTTATTCCTGTGGAACATTTTCAAAATGCAGAAGTAACACAGCCATTGAAAGAAAAATTTGGAATTCAAAATTGTTTATGGATTCCTGGAATTTATGAAAGCAACTCACTTCCATTGACAAGTGGAGGTATTAGTATTTCTGTGAAAGGATTTGGAGTATTCATTCAATTACATTCACTTCTCAAGGATAAACAAATATATTATTCTCTCGATAGAAACGAATTGATATTACACGAAATTATACATGCATGTAGGGAATGTGTTGGATCTGAAATGTTTGAGGAAGAGTTTGCTTACTCTCTTTCACCAAGTAGACTTAGGAAATTGCTTTCTCCAATTACAAGAGGTTCATCAGAGTCATTGCTTTTCTACTTGATTTCAATCATTAGTATCACATCAGATCTTCCATCTTTTCCAAGATGGTTTGCCAGAGTATCAAAGATACCATTCATAATACTGACACTTATTGGATTGTTTCGTCTAATGAGAAGCAAACAATATTTAAATGGTGCCTTCAACTATTTAACGGTGAAACAAAATATTTCGCCATCCACAGCTTCATGCATTCTATTTAGATTAACAGATGATGAAATTTTAATGCTCTTCAATCTTTTCAAACAAAATTCGAATACAGGAATCAGAGAAATAGTATCAAGAAAATTAGAACAAGGAATTGATATTAATCAGAGATGGTCAGTTATTGTGGATAGATTTCTTCCCTCTTTTCAAAATGTATCAAAATTATAAGAATGTTCGACAATGAAGTAGAATCTAGTACACAATAAAATCATCTACAGTTTTGCAATGGAAGGAAGGATTATCTGTAGTTTCACCTATCGATTACAACAACTTGTGTGAAACTTCTTTGCTTGTTCTTAGTTGAAGGTTGTAAGAGCGAATTCCCCTAGAAGCCCAAACGATTTAGGGGTTCATTGCTAAAATAACATTTTTTATGTGTTGAATGGTGAAAATTGACTTTAATGTTTATTACCAAAATGTCATTCAGATATTTACAAGTTACTCAGTTGCATGCCTAGAGAAATAAATACTTCAAAATTGAGGGAATAATTTACAGGGTAGGTAGGGGGTAGATGTTAGAAGGAAAATTATGGTTGACCAAACAACTTTGGAGTATGGATTTGAAAGTTAGATGGTGATGTAATTGTGACATCATCATCATCCATATTATCAAAAACAAGCTTACGACAAACATTCTTATATGATTGTCCAGAAGCTTGTTCCATTAAAAGTTGATTATGTGTATCTCTTCTCAATTCCTCCTTAGCTCTCTTATAAATTGCAAATTGTTCTGGAGGTTGAACAACTCTTTTTGAAACAGGAGTACTAGCAAACATTATCTTTGGATTCACAAAATGTAAACTTGGTGAAGCACATTCGATGGTTTGATATTGAATAGTTTGTGGATGACACATTTCAGACTAGAGTGCGAGTGAATATTGGAAGTGAAAAATGGCGGGCAATCAATTCGCTATTGGTTGCTGTGTGGCAATGTTGTTGTTGTGTTTTTTTGGATGAATAAATAAAAAATTACTGCGTCGGCTTCTTTTTAAAACCACACAACAAAGATAATAATAACCAGCCAGAAATTTTGGTGTTGGTACAAATTGCTCCGTTGAACGACCTGTTTAATGCACTGCAGGATTCGTTGGGCGCCTAAACGATGCGCATCAATTTGATGTTATTAACACCTATTGCAGTGCTCTTCTTGAAGCCTCTCATGATTTACCCAAAAATACTTATTATTACCTTCACACACTGAACTACATCACATCAGTGAAACCTCCTCTTCTTCAACCACTGCACTGAACCATTAACGGCTCTAAACGTTGATGTTCACACGATGTGTGTGTGGATAAGCTAATTGTTACAGTTTTACAGTTCAACTACAACAGCTCTCAAGTAAATGCTGCAGTAGTATTAAATGGTTGGGCGAACCAATAGAATATATGTTACAATGATGAAACATCTTTATAGTTCAATACAATAAGAGTGAGTTTTGGGAGCCGTGTTGCTTTTGTTGCTTTGTAATCCAATCAAGAAATGTTTGTGATTATTTGTGCACAATTTACTGAAATTAGAAAATTTTGGTAAATTAAGAGATTCGTGTTAAAAAATAGAAGGAACGGACTGAAACATCAAAATGAAGGTATAATAGTGACAATTGTTATTTTGAAATTAATGTGGGTCTGTCTTTCTTTTTCATGTGATTTCAAACCAATAAAAGAAATAAATTAAAAAGTGCCAAAATTCAACTACAGATTTTTTAAAAAAGTAGATTCTCAATTGACAAGTTTACAAATCAAACTACTGTTCACTTCGTGTTAAACTACGGATGTTATTGTTCAAGTATGAATTGGTTGTGTGAGGTTTCCAATAGAGGAAGTCCACGTCGGTCTTGTGGTCAAATATGATGATTCGAATAAATCCAATTCACTAAAGGAGTTGGTGAATAACTGGACTAAATGCACTTATTGGAAACATTTTAGAGCCTTTCTGTAGTGAGTCACATTGTAAGGTGTTTACAGTTTTGCTTGACCATTACCTTAATTTTCACAACAAGTCAACCAATCCTCATCTCCTTCAGTTAAAAAAATATCTACAATCTTGATTAATATCACCATTCATCCTTTCACGGTAATGAAATTAAAAGAACAAGACATTAAACAATAATTAAAAGATGAGATTGACTTGATGGTCCAACAAACAAATAGTTCAAAATCATTGAGGCAAACACAATATTTATGAATTTCACATTATGAAATATTTAGAACAAGATTGAGAACAGAAATGGCTATTTTATTAAGTGCAAATCCCATCTGTTTTTTGTGGTAATTGCAATTATTCAAACTCTTAGTGACATTGATCAATTAATTTACAACTTTTTGTTTTTGTAACATGTATGGGAATGGAGGTGATGGTGCTGTTTGCTGATAACTTCCTGTAAGTGGAATATTTGGACATAAATTAATCAAGTGAGGAGGAGGTGGTGGAGGAAATAAAAACCAATTTGGTTGTTGTGAATTTTCATCTGCAAATGGTGGCTTGAATGAGGTATCAGGGAATGGAGGAATTGAATTTTCTGGTGTTTTTGTCATTTGACCTATTGCATGAAGTACATTATTAGAAATATGTTGAGTAGGATTACTAGCAGCAGAAGATGATGTTGTTGTTGTTGTTGATGATGTTTGTATTGTTTGATTATTGTTTGTATTTGATAAATTATTTTGTAAGATCATCATTGTTCCTGATGCTGAAGGATTTGGAAGAATAACTCCATTTTGTACAAGCATTCCATTCACTAGTAAAGGTACACCCATCATCATTTGTTCGGGTTGTACTCCAATCATTAAACTTGGAACTTCCTTTGCGTCTTCTTTAGGCACTTGTTGAGTTGAAACCATGAGAGCACTTGTAGGATCTCCAACAAATTGAGCAAAAAAAGCTCTTACATTGGTTTTATGTCTCCAACCTTTGCAATGAAGTTTTCGGACAGAAATTGAATCATTTGTTAAAAATACATCACAATAATCGCAATAGAATTTAGGCATTTTTTTACTTCTTGTTCATTTGCGAATTTATTTAAATATAAATTTATTATTTGATGAAACTATTGAAAGTGAGGAGAAGAAATGAAAATTTACTTTATCTTTACTGATAGCTATTAAGAACAAGAAAAAGGACAAGTTTACATTTAGGATTTTAATGTTGATTTGATTAGTTAGGAAATTTTTTGGAAATGTTGCAAGCGCCGTTAGATCAGTTGGTTAGATCGTCAGCTTTACACGCTGAAGGTCAAGGGTTCGACTCCCTTACGGCGTATTTTTTATTTCTTTAAAACGCGAACAGTTTTGAAGCTTTTTATTTATGTAATTATTGAAGCTTTTGTATTATTTATTTATTTTAGTTAAACTTTCAATTACCCACATAAGCTGTATCAAGTGATAGGTCCAACAAATATTGTTCAATACACTCAAACTATTAGCACAGCAATCAGAAACAGATTGGCTAACATACAGCCATCAAAAATTGAATTGGTATAATAGTGGTACTAGAGCAAAAGTCAATGAAATAGTATTGATTTACTACTTGTTAAATCATTTCACGAATTTTCTGGATCTTATCTTATGGATTATTCCTTAAAAGCATCATATTATGTAAATGATATCCAGCTGTCAAACAAGGCCTCCAATTTCACTGATATTAGAGGTTCTTCATTGATGATTAATGCTATGGATACCTGCCATTGATGCCTGCAAGTATAATGAGGAATGGATTATGTGATCCCACTTTCAATATATTTAATTATTTGATGAAAACTGTTGAAAGTGAGGATTGGAATATGTAACTCATTTGAACTTAACAGAATCTGTTAAATAAACATTTGTTGTAAAAAAGTTTCAAATTCAAAACTGAGAGTTAAATATAGATTTGAATCTCAGAATACTTTATCTTTAAATTACTATTGAGAACAAGAAAATCAAAAAAAACAATCAACACTTTTAATAATAATGGCATCTAAATTTCAAACACAAAAGTATCCAAAAACACCACATTTACCATTCTCTCCCGAACATCAAGATGATGATGTTGTACTTTCCAATCAACATTGTACACAATTTGTTGGTCAAGAAGTGATTATTACCGAAAAGATGGATGGTGGCAATTGTCAATTATTTCAAGGAAAGATCTTTGCTAGAACAACAAATAAGGAGGCAACACATGCAAGTTTTGGACCTATCAAACAATTATATTCTCAATTTTCATTTCTGATACCTGATCATTTAGTATTGTTTGGAGAGAATATGTACGGAATTCACTCTATAGAATATAATAATTTGAAATCATACTTTTATTTATTTGCAATTTTAGATTTACAAGATAATAGATGGTATGGATGGGATGAAATGATCAATTTTATTAATGATAATGATTTATCGAGTATGGTTCCAATTGTTCCAGTTCTATACAGAGGTACATTCACTTCTCTTGATGAAATTAAACAATGGATGGATGAAAGAATTAAAGATAAGAAGATTAGTCAAGTCGGAGGAGGAGAAGGTCTAGAAGGATTTGTTATCAAATCAACTCAAACATTTGCAAACAAGGATTTTGAACGAAATATTGCCAAGTATGTAAGAAAGGGTCATATTCAAACAGATGAAAATTGGGGAAAAACATGGAAAAGTGCTAAAATAAATTATGAATAAATTTTAAGAATTTTAAATTATATTTATATGGTTTTTTTTAGGTTCAACAAATTTAGTTTTGTGGGCTGAGAGCAGGGAAGTCCTTTTCCTTGTTGATGACTGGACGTGGCTTCTTTTGGCCTGAGGCTGGCTTGGCACCCTTTTGACCCTTGTTTTGTGGCTTACCACCCTTTCTATCAGTTCTTTCTGGTCTGTCTTGTCTTGGACCTCTTGGTTGCTTTGGACCTTCCAACAATTCCTTATCTCTTCTTTCCTTGATCTTTTCAATTGAAGCAGTATCTAAGAATTCAGAAACAGCAACAGTCTTTGGCTTAGAAGCAGCAGACTCTTTTCAGCAGCCTTTTCAACCTTCTTCTTTTCCTTTTGGAA